CTAGGGCTTTGATTAATTTGTTTGCATTAGAGCTTTGTAAGTAGAATACTTAAGATCTAATTTTAGTGAGCAGGTACTGGGATTCTAAATGATTTAAGTTTCTCTTTTAATATTTTATTTTAATTTTTTAAAGACTCGATTTCTACTTTTAATAGTTTATTTTCTATTGTAGTACTAGCAAAATAATTTTGTTGATGAATTAGTTGAGATGACAAAGTGAAACAATAAATTTGTTATAAAGATAATATAGAGAAATAACAGACAGGTTGAGACAAAACAGAAGAATATTAAGCAAAATAAGACAAGATAGAGAAATAATAAATGAAATAAGATAATTTAAAGAAATTTGGATTTTGTTAATTGGTTTGTCAAGATGAAGATAAAAAATCAATTTGTTCAGTAGATATAGACAGAACAAGATGATCTAGACTAATAGTGTTAGGATTAAAAGACCAAATTTCTCTAACTCTATAAGCATTAATAATCAATTCAGATATATAAGTTTTTATAACAAAAATTAATACTAGCATAGTTTATATAGCTTTTGTGTCTATCAAGAATTAAATGAACTAGCTATTGAGAAAGAATAAAACTAATAAAATACTCAATGTATATTTGAAATAGGTTTTTTTCATATATTTTGAGTTAGTAAAATCTATAATAGTGCTAGCCAGAAAACTATTTAATAAATTAGAAATTGCACAAATATTTTTATAAATAATCAAGGATAGTATATAGCTACTAGTAGCCAAAATCATTGATATGACAGATGTAATGGGCGGGTCGAAGTTGATTCAAAGCAAAGAATTTTTATTAAAGAGATTGAACAGACTAGCTTGTACAAAAGGTTTGTATTATCTTTTTATACTATCGTTAATGCTATACTATCGTGCTTACTAATACTAATTACAAATTACTTCTACTCTATAATCTCATTTCTTATATATTAACCATTTGATAACTATATATTTTATGCGAATCAATTATCCTTTGATTAAACTTTTAGTACGATATATTAATTTATGACCTCATGATTCATGCGATGGCATAACTAGTATCACGAGCCTGAAACCTAGACTTGAATCATGGGCTCGAGCATATGCATCGATCACAGGCTTGTATTTTACTTGGATTCGGGCTTGATCATTATACTATCCCCTTCTTAACAATCTCACCTTCTTCTTTTTGCCTTTGTGCTTTACTGCCTTGGCCTAGACTTGTTAGAGTAGTATTGGTAAAAGATGTCAATAGCTTCTTGAGCATGGGCCATATTTTTCGCAGGTTCTCAGGATCGTTCGTTGATATCATAGCCTTTTTAGTCAATTAGGTAGTATAATTTTTTTCAAATCTGTTTTATATCAAGTATTTTATTTACTTCGTATTCGTTTTCTCCTTCTATAGTTACCAGAGGAGAAGGTTCTAATGATCTACCAGGAATTATATTAGCTATGTAGAGTTTTAGCAGAGAAACGTGAAACGTGTTGTGAATTTTAGATGTAGGAGGTAGTAATAGATGATATGCAACTGGGTTAATTATCTGCGTAATAGTATATAGCCCTAGTTTCTGATAATTTAGCTTCTTGAAGGGCCATGTAGTGTGAATATTGTGGCATAAGAGCCAGACTTTGTTTCCTATTTAAAAACTGAGACCTTCTTGGTATTTTTGGTCTGCTTTTGCTTTATAATATTCCTGGGCTTCTTTTAATTCACTAATAAGTGTTTTCTTTATTTGAGTAGTTGATCAGCATTATCTTCTATGAGGGGACTGAAGAATGAAACAGTAACTGCAAATCGAAGTGAGGATAAAAACCATAATTGGCAAAGAAGGGTGTGGTCTTGGTGGAGATATGAATTGAATTGTTATAAGTGAATTCAGCTAGTAGAAGTAAGTCGGTTCAATTGTCTTGGTGATAGTTGATTGTGTATCTCAAATACTGCTCTAACACTTGATTAACCCTTTCACTTTGCCTATCTGACTGAGAATAGTAGGCCAAAGATAGGTTAACTTGGGTTTCTAGTAAGTAGAAAAGGTGTTTCCAAAACTTAGAGGCAAATTGAGGTTCTCTATCTGAGGTGATGTCTTTTGGGACCCTGTGGAGTCATATTATCTCCTTTAGGATTAGTTGTGCTGTTTGTTCTGCATTGATATCTTTGTTATATACAACAAAATGCACCATCTTTGTCAATAGGTTGACTACAACAAGTATGGAATCAAATCCTAAAGATGTAGATAAATCTGTGATGAAATCCATAGAGATAGATTGCTATTGTTAAGTAGGTATAGACAAGAGAACTAGCAACCCATAAGGGTGATGCCTGGAGATTTTAGCCCTAGCGCAAATATCACAAGTTTTAATGTAGTTTTTTACAAAAGAGCAGAGCTTTGGCTACCAGTAATCACGTGTTATTAACTCTATCATTTTGGCTACCCAAAATGACCGGCTAACTTTAAATCATGTTATTTTTGTAATACTTCTAGCCTCTCTGATGTGTTGGGTATATACAATAGGCCTTCTCTGAATAGTAGCCCATCAGAAAATTAAAATTTATAGTAGTCAGAATGCTTGTTTGGATTGCCTTCATCAGAACATTCTTTGTGTTTAATTACATCTAAAGCTAGAGGGTTCTTCTTCAACCGATTATGGATTTAGTCTCCCATGGTAGTATCAATTGGTATCACAAGGTAGCATCTATATAAAGGTTGTGATCTTTTAACAAAGTAGTATGTTGCTGTGTCACAGTTTCATCACCATCCTGAGGCTGGTAATCAGATCTCCTAAATAAAGCATCGGATTTCCCTTGCTCTTGTCCTGATCAAAATGTAATCTTAAAGTTGTAACTTGAGAGTAGAAGTGACCATCTGGCTTGACAATGGCTGAGGTTTTTTGCCGTAGTGAAGTATTGCAGATTTTTGTGATCACAGTAGATAGTGATTTCATGTTGGGCCCCCTCTAGGTAGTGATGCCATTGCTTGAAGGCTGTTATTATTGCAAGTAACTTCTTGTCATAAACATTATAATTGATCTCTGCCAGGGTGAGTTTTCATGAATAGTAGACGATAGGTAGAGGTTACCTTTGTACAACTAGGATAGGACCACTCCTAGAGCATAATCAGAGGCATTAGTTTCAAAGAAGAATGGTTTTGTTAGGTCAGCTTGTGCTAATATTGTGACAGAGTTAAAAGCCTCTTTTAAGGTGATAAAGGCTTGTGAGCTTACGAGGTCCAAACTAAAGTTTTTGTATTGGATTTTTGAGTTAGATTAGTCAGATGTATGACTAACTGGGAATAACATTTGATAAATTGCTGATAATAGTTGGCAAAACCCAAAAATCATTGCACTTCTCGAACTGAGGTTGGAGTTGGCAGGTAAAAATGCTTTTAACCTTTTCTAAGTCTATTTGGATTTCTTGGGAGTGATGTGGTAACTCAAAAATCCATGTCTCTCTATCAAATTCACATTTTTCTAACTTTGCAAACAAACCATTTTGACACAGCTTTTCCAATACTAACTGCACGTGTTGGTCATGTGTCTTTTGGTCAAGTGAATATATTAAGATATCATCCAAATAGATAATTATGAACCGGTCCAGAAAATCTTTAAATATATCATTCATCAAGTGTTGAAATACTGCTAGGGTGTTGGTGAACCCAAAAGGTATCACCAAATACTCAAAATGCCTATATCATGTATGAAAGGCTGTTTTCTATTTGTCCTCTAGCCTTATATGGACTAAATTGTAAGCCTCTCTCAGATCAATTTTTGTAAAAACTTGGGCAAAAGAAAATCAGTCTAGTAGCTCAGGTATTAAAGAGAGTAGATAGCGGTTTTTGACTATAATTTGATTCAAACCTCAGTAATCTATACACTTGTGTAAAGAGCTATCTTTCTTTTTAACAAACAGTACAGATACACCTGCAGGTGATTTTGAATATCGAATGAACCCTTTTTTTAAGTTTTCCTCATTATATTTCCTCAGAGTCTCAAGCTCCAGTATGGGAAGTTCGTAAATAGGTCCTCAAGGGGTTGTTTTTCAGATAACAGATCAATAGCACAATCATACTGCTGGTTTTCTGGCAATCGGTTGGCCTCTTTCTTATTGAATATATCACTAAATTTCTTATATTTATTCAGAAGGACTAGGAAAGAATTTGGCTCCGAGAAACCTGAGTTAGCTGGATAGCAGTGAAAACTTGGATCATAAAAATTTGTTCCCCATCCGGTGGGTTGTTAGTCCTTAGTGGTGTAGTATTTGAAAGATGGTCTTTACGATTTGGGTCAGAAAAGGTTATAGAACGTTTATGCCAATTAATTTCAGAATTATGTGAGACCAGCCAAGGTAAGCCCAGGATTATTTCATAATGAGGGGACGAAATAAGGTTGAAAGAGATTTTTTCATAATGATTTTGAAAATGCAAAAGTAGTAGTGCCATTTTGTATTTTACTGTTCTAGATAAGATTTCACGATCATCAATTATTTCCACGAATAGTAATGTTTCTTTTTCAAAAATAGGTAAGTTATGTTTTTGGGCCAAGGTCATGTTCAAAAAATATACTAAGGCCCGAATCAATTAGAGCTTGTGTATTTACTGGGGTTCCATCTGGCAGGTGGAGATATAAAGCCAGAGTAAGTACAGTTACAGGTTCGTTGGATGATATTTCTTTAGGGGTAAGTTAGTTATGTAGTCCAGTTGCAGCACCCTTACTGTTACTGGGTCTCTCTTTTTCACAACAATTCATCTGTGGCAACTAAAGCGTTGATTCTAGATGGTAGCAATTTTTTCTTCTTTGGGCAGTTCTTGACGATATAACTTGGTTCACCGCAGTACATACACAAGTTATTGTTGCAGCATCATTTTTTTTTCTCCACCGATAATGGTTTAAACCTTATAGCATCTATTTGAATAGGCTCCCTGGAAGAGATTGTTGAACTATTAGAAGGTTGTGGTTGGTAATATTCTGTGTTTGGGCCACGTTGTCATTCTTGCCTATGTTTAATAATCAGTTATTACATCTAATTGCTTTTGAAATAGCATCGTTTAGAGAGGTCAGGTCCTCAACAGTGAGAAGCAAATCTTTGATATCATTCTGGAGCCTATTCCTAAATTGATCAATTAGTGCTGCTTCACCCCAGTTCAAATTGTCTGCAATCTGCCAGGATTCTGAAGCATAACTTGAAGCTGCCCTAAAACCTTGGATAAGCTTTCATATTTTATTTGCAGCCATTCTAGACTTATCTGCATCACCAAAAGTTTTTTCAAATTTTTTGACTAATATTTCAAAATCTCCCAACAGTTCTAATTGTTTCTCCAACAAAGAAGAAAACCAAGCCAAAGCTGGTCCTGACAATAAACTTCCCAAAAGACCTACTTGAGTCTGGTCATCCGGGTAGCAGTTTGGCTACATTTGTATAACAAGGTAAATTTGGTTCAAGAATCCTCAGAAATTATCTCTTGAGCTATCGAATTTGTCTAAAAGGCTAACTTTGGGGTTTTTATACTGAATATTAGCACCTTCTTGACCTTGAAGTTGGTTGAGAGTGTTTTTGAGTTCCACATTTTCTTGGTGAAGCATTTGATAGTCCAACTGAATTTGGTTTAGTGCTGTCAATATGATGTTGAGATCAGGTTGGTCCTCTATTTATAACTTGTAGTGTTAACAAACTTTGTTGTTTGTTTTAAGTGTTTTAAGTTTCCTTATTTTTTTTTTTGAAAAGATAAAGGAAAAAGAAAAGAAAAAAAAGAAAAAATACAGGGAAGTTAGAAAGTGTTCAAGTAACAAGAGAACTTAAAAGCAACGATTATCAAATCAATTGGGAAGCAGAAGTATATTATTATTATTATGTGCTATTTTTTTTTTTTTTTTCAAAGCAGTAACTAGGACCAGAAAAAGTGGGTGAAACTGGAATTGATCGATTTTACAGATAGAGATGCCAAAGGGTGAAAGCTATTTTATGTTTGAATAATGGTTTGATTATGACAACTAGGCATCTAGGGTTCTGAGACTTGAAAGGTAGTCTGTTCAAACTGTAATGGGCAGGTCGAAGTTGATTCAAAGCAAGGAATTTTTATTAAAGAGATTGAACAGACTAGCTTGTACAAAAGGTTTGTATTGTCTTTTTATACTATTGTTAAAGCTATACTATCATGCTTACTAATGCTAATTACAAATTACTTCTACTCTATAATTTCATTTTTTATGCATTGACTATTTGATGACTACATATTTTATGCGAATCAATTATCCTTCAATTAAACTTTTGCTATGATATATTAATTTATGACCTTATGATTCATATGATAGCATGACTGGTATCATGAGCCTGAAACCCAGACTTGGATCATGGGCTCAGGTATGTGCATCGATCATGGGCTTGCATTATACTTGGATTCAGGCTTGGTCATTACAACAGAGATATAATTATAGAAGTTTCTGTATAAAACTTTGTGAATTTGGTGGGAACCTTTTGTAGCAATAACTTTCTGTATTTTAGAGGATATGACAAAACCAGTTTTATCTATATTTCAGGTTTGGTTAGCAGTAAGTAAATGTTCTTCAATTATTTTATGGAGCTTATCAAAATAAATTTTAACAATAGTTGAATTAGCTCTCTATATATATGATTTTGACAAGATTTGAAGCATATAAAAAAACAAATTAGAGTGGTCTTTTATAAAACATATTTATCAGATCTTGTCAGATTCACTATTTTTTAAAAGATAATCATGGTTGTTACTTCTTACAATATTTATTATGTAGTAATTAACACTCAACTTTGTAAGACCAAACCTTAGCCTTAATATAATTTTATAATAGCCTACCAACTGTTCTTCTTCATGAACACTTAAGATTATTATAGAACTAAAATAGTCAAGTGAACTATCATTCTTTACTACGCACTTTAAAGTTATTGCTGCAACTTCAAATTTTGATATAGCTGCTCGAATGCTAAGTGGTTTAGTACTAGAAAATGCTTTAAGAGCAGACTCAATAACTTTTATATATTTGACTCAATTTTGTTAAAATTTTTTTTAGTTATAGTAGGTTTGATTATAGTTTTAGGCTTGAACTTAGATACAATTTTAAACTTGGATGCAATTTTAAACTTAGACACAATTTTAAACTTGAATGCAATTTTGAACTTGGATATAATTTTGAACTTGGATCTAAATTTGGGTTAAATATGACTTTGGTACTCATTCTGGTTTAATTTTAATTTTTTGTAATTTTTTATTTTATTTTTATTTTTTTTTTTAATTGTAAAATTTAAGGCAATTTATTTCTTTCATATATTTCATACTATTATAACTCTGATTACAATAATAATCTGATTGATTTCTTTAAATCATAATTTTATTTGTCTCAATCACAATTATGATTGAATTATTTTATTTGCATACAATAATAATCACACTATAATTACAATTATTTATTCTTGTGATTATGATTATGATTGTCTTCATATAAGCTTACATTTGTTGAATTACAATCACAATTACAGGAATTTTTTAATATCTTTTGTTTTGCAGTAGTGTTTAATTAAAAATAGCAAAATTTAAAAAACTACAAAATAAAAACTTAAACATTTATGAATTAATGCATTTATCTGTTAGTTGTTTAATAAACAAACAGTTATCACAAAAACAGAAATTCAGACAAAAGCAATATTGCTCTAACTAGCTATTTACAGAAATTTGCTAAAATAACACTATTTAGGTGCTACAAATAGCTAGATGCACTACAATTATGATCTTGATTGTTTTCTTTAGATAATTTCATGATCATGACAAATAAATAAATTAATAATTTTATAATTAAAGCAAGTGACTTTATTAAAAAAAAAAAATAGTGTACTTCAAAAGTGTCCTATCTCTACTATACATTGAATTTGTATCAATAGGTAAGTTGATTAAATAACATTAAAAAAAAAAATACAAATTGGGCAATAATTAAAGAAATATATAAATAACTAGGATTTGGAACCATGAAAAATTGTGCTAATGGTTAATTGCGTCACTTAACTATATGCTACACGATTAATAATCGTTTAGCTGTTTATTAATTGTGACGGCTGATGCTGAAGTTTGGCTGATGTTGAAGCTAAAAAATCTGATTGGTTAGGGTTAGGGTGATCTGCAAAATTTAGCCAATCAGATTTTTTAGCTTCAACATCAGCCAAACTTCAGCATCAGCCGTAACATTAATTGTTCAACCGTCTATTATTTAATCGTTTAACCGTTATTAATCATTTAGTTTATTATTTAATCATTTATCCATTGGATCGTTATTCGTCTAACTGCTTATTAATCATTAAAATGTTCATTGATCATTTTACCATTATACGTCGCATTACATATTACCGGTAATTACCCAGTGCTTTTAAAACATCTTGTTCCTAATGAAACTTTGAGTCGACACCACAAAGCAACAAACTTCACAAGTTATCAGGATTATATAAGTTTGTGCGGCCTGTTAAATTCTGCCAAAGGAAAAAAAAAAAGAATTCCAAGGTATAATTCGAAACACAAATCTTATAACGATAGGCCAAGAGCTCTACTTTATTAATAAATTAAACATAAGTTTATGCACAAATACAAGTGTTTCGAGTGAATTGTCGAATCATAAGCGGAAACTCGATGTTTTTATAGTTCTGGAGAGCCTCTAGCTCTCATTTCCATCTCGGAATATTAACTTGTTGAAAGTTGTTAACTATTGGCCCGTATTGTATAATTTGCCAAAAAAGGAAATACATAAGAGAAATTAACAAATTACCGTAATATTTTACTACCTTATCTTCTTGCGCTCCAGTGATCAGAATAAAGTGATGTTTGTAACATTCGATTCGTCTTGATAAGACGAATCGAATGGTGCTAAAATCATTCGATTCGGATCACTGTATCAAGAGAAATTGCAAAAAAACATGAGTGCGCCACAATACCCCCGCGCCAGAATACCCGACCCTCCCTTATGACGTATAAATTCTATTTTTTTTTATATTATTTACTTATTTATATAATCGCTTATTAATAGATATTTGTCCAAAGAAACTAATTTTATCACCAACTACGATTATTTAATTTTTATTTCGAAATTTTAGAACAGAAATTTAGATCTTTTAAACTCATACTTATTTTCGAAATAAGTTAATTATGAAGTAGTCCTATGTAAAGTAGTATAGTCTGTTTAATATACTTACGCGTGTAATAGTTGATTAAACTCTTTAGGCTAACACTTAAATTATTCATATAAACCTATACCCTAATTCTATTCCTAACATACTAACATGAAGTATAGTCATAATCCTAACCTTAACTATCTGTAGATAGCATAGCGGGCTTTATCATGATTGGCTAATTTTGGAAGATCATCTCATCATAATAAAGCTTTATTAAAGTAACGATTTTCTGTCACAAGAGTGCACAAAAATGAATTCGGGGCCACGAGTACG